GTTCTGAAACCACACCTGAACACAACATGTTGGGATTAGTCTGCTGCAGGCACCGACTTGCTTTGTCTGGGGCCACTTTAGCAGAATATCAGGGTTCCTGTGGCCAGATAATTAAATATTAATAATATTTAGCAGTATATTGAATAGGTTTACAACCTTTCCATATTTGCTGTCCCGACTTACCTTTGCCAAGAGGCGAATCTAGTTGCAGGGGCGTTTCTAGTATTTGAGGACACTTGGGGCTAAGCCCAGATCATTGTTAGGAGGTCGGGGGATCCTTCCTTGCCATAATTTTTAATAAACAAGTTTTATGTCAATGTTTTTAGATGCATTCTGGCACCTTATTTACATTCAAAGGACACAAAGAATTTCCAGTGTGAATTAATTTATTTTTATGTGAATTAGAAAATGGTCGGCGGGCCACCTGCCATCTTATTGTGGGCCAGATTTGGCCTGGGGGCCGTAAGTGGAATATGATTAGGCGTGTGTCTGTGGATGTGAGTTTGTGTTGTCTGATCATCTTGCTCACAAACATTGTGCAAGAGAAAGCTATGAAAATCATCCATGACCTAATTTCTGCATGAAGTAGATGTGTGTGTGTGTGTGTGTGTGTGTGTGTGTGTGTGTGACCTGCTGATCACAGATTAGCTTCAAGCTTGTTTTTCTTACTGCAGTTGTATGTATAAATAGGTCAACTTAATTCCTGTTGTACCTTTTACTACACACACACACACAAAAAATAAATAAATGAATAAAAATAATATAACAAAAATCATGGTAAAGGTCAAACATGGAGAAATAAAATCCAGTACATCAAGAAAAACAAAATAATTTAGAGTAATATGTTTTGAAGTCACTTCACACTGTAAGTTATAAACCCCCCTCACACAAAAGCATAATTTTAACAGCATTAATATAAATGTGCTTTTATCTTTACCTTGACTTGTGACTCAGTCATGCCCAGAGAATAAGCCAGTCGCGCTCTCTCAGGCCCGGCCAGGTACTTGGTCTGCTCAAATGTTTTCTCCAGGGCAAATATCTGATGTCCACTAAATGTTGGTCTAGTGTGTTTCTTCCTGCCTGACATCTCCCCCAGATGACCACTACCTGGAAATATCATAGAAGGAAAAATATGCAAGAAATGACTCAGCTGGATTATTAGATTTTTACATAGAAATTAGATGCAACCAATGAAATTCTTCAGTTTCTGCAGACAGCTGGGACAGAATTTTTCACTGCATGACAAAACAAAATGTCAGCAAAAAGATCCCTTAATCAGTTAATCAGTAATCTGTTTGTTTGACTATATAATTAATATTGTATAAGTTTAATAGAACAATTAATTATAACAATTTAATGAGCAGCCTTGTCCACATATATAAAAGCGACATTTCTTGATAGGGTGTTTGAAGTGTCACATAAACGCATCAACCTCTGTAAGTTCTTGTTTTTGTGTTTTCTTTTACTTAGAAATGACTCTTAAAATGTGCACTCAAACATTTTAAATATTAGTAATAACAAATAGTATCTGAAAAATTATGCAACTTTTCAGAACAATTAGCTTTTGAAGTTGTATATTTCTGTATATTTTCTTATTAGTCTGAATTTCTCTTCTTTTGTAAAGACAAAGGGCACTCTGGCATCACTAAAAGCTAACACGCCTTGTTGAGTCCTCAGAGACAGACACAAGGAAGTTGTAATGTGCTGATGAGCTGGATGTTGAGTCCATGCTGCAGTACTGAGACTCACTGTTGGTGCACTGCTGCCTCCCTCCTCTCCAGTCACAGCCGCTCTCCGCCCAGCAGCTCACACTGCGACCCTTCATGGGGCACTCGGCGCCGGGCTTGGAGAAGCCGCCCAGGGAAGAGTTGTAGTCTCGGTTATAGTACATGGACGTGCTGGTGACGGAGGGGCTGAACCCCCCCATGGTGGAGTATCCGGACAACAGGGTGGTGGTGCCCGTGGAGCCCATCATGGAGCGGCTCAGGATGTCGCTGATGCCGTGGGGCGTCCCTGCCTGCAGCTGGCTGTTCAGGCCCGGGTTGAGCTTGTAGAAAGAGTTGGGCACTGAGTACTGGCACACTGGTGCCTTGAGTTCCGAGGGGAATTGGTTCAGGCTGTTGTTGAACAGGAAGGACCCCTGGATGTTTGGATCCATGAGAAGTAACTGTAACTCTGCCTCCAGGTCTCAGTAACACATCCAATAAGATCCAGGCAGGAAAAGACCTCTGATGGGCCCACAAGGTGTTCTCTCACCCACAGTCGATGTCTTGGATCTGGGATCACACCCACCGTCCCCAAATCTTTAAGAGCATGAATAGCAATTTCAACAAAGTCCCTGTTTGCAAAAGTTGCTACCACATCAGAAAAAGCAGACAGACTCTTCACTCTCGCCCCTCAGCCACAGTGTGTTCTGTGATAATCCCATATCTGACGTCTCGGGCGAGCCCTCTGGACACAGATGTTAGTGTTCTCCTAAAGACACATGCCGCCTGCTGGCTCTCTGCTCAGAAGTCATAAATAAGCAGTATCTGGAAATGGAGTGGCACCTTGATAAAGATAGGCCACATTAGAATGCAGCCTGGGATTGGCCTGGGTCTCACAGCCTTAATGCTTCTCTATTGGCTCCTCGCTGAGAGCCAAGCCTTTTATTGGAAGGCAGCAGATTGATAGTGTTTTGAACAGGTGGAGTGGGAACAAGTTGATTTTTTGATGGCCTGCCATGTCTGACCAAGTGTGGTGGTGCAGAGGCAGCTGAGCCTGGAGTACACAGAGGAGGAGAAGACGAAGGGATGCTCTGTTTCCTGGTTTAATACTGCAGAAATACAGTTTTGAAACATCCAATTATATTCTTGTATTGTGGGTAACATAAACACAACCCCAAGTGAAAGAAAATGTGCATTCTTGCACCACTTTATGTGAATTAAAACACTGATTCAGTTCATGAATTTAACAGTGTGGTATCTCTATCACTAGCTTATTGTCCTTCTATTCAGTGCTTTCAATGGCATATATATTCAGGAAATTAAAAAAAAATTGTCAAAAATATATCAATCAAATGTCATTGTGGAATCTCATATTACAATATGCAGTGGCAATACACCACATCTTATGCTATATATGTAAATTTAATATAGGTGTTTTCGTGTTAATGTATCGTGGGGTTTTGAATTAGAATCAATGAAAATATAAATGTTTAATTTTAATGTTTGGAAGTCTTTACTGTATTAATTCAGAAAATTAAAACCTGATATGAGGTTGGTATCGGGCCACACACATTTCAATAAGTATCTGAATCTATTTCAATATAATTTAGTGCTAAAATAATAATTTGACACACAAATGAACGGATAAACTGCGACTAAGAGAGAAGTTAAGGTTTTATTGAGCTTAATTACATTTTACTTGCCAAATGTTTAATTTTAATGTTTGGAAGTCTTTACTGTATTAATTCAGAAAATTAAAACCTGATATGAGGTTGGTATCGGGCCACACACATTTCAATAAGTATCTGAATCTATTTCAATATAATTTAGTGCTAAAATAATAATTTGACACACAAATGAACGGATAAACTGCGACTAAGAGAGAAGTTAAGGTTTTATTGAGCTTAATTACATTTTACTTGCCACCATATTAAAGTTGTTATTGTTTTAATGTGACTTATAATGAACTCACTGAGCAAATTGAGTCTTAAAAATGTTAATATCATGTTACACAGTGTTTTTTGAATTTGGCTGGGTAGAGCTGATGCAATACTTGCAATAATTTATGACATATGGCATTTTAACTACAGGATGTACAGAGAATATAACTTTCTTGTGTGAACAAAGTAGAAATGCATGCCTAAAATTAAACAATTTCCCTAAAGAACGTCAAACGCACATTAGTAACAGTTTCATATATTTCTGTGTTCCATCTAATACACGTTAAAACATGCCTGCAGCTGTTAAATGTATTCCAGGTGTGGCTTGCAGTGTTTGTCAAGTGACAGGATGTTGGGATTTCTCGGGAAAAAGTCACGGGATAGTTGATCATAGTTAGGGCAGATCTAGTAACTTTCCAAGAGTGATGATGTCATTCTGGATTTCCAGCTAGGTCTCCTCCTGTCACATGGTCGGGACTGCCAACCAATGAGAACTAAAGACATGAGGATGTGCGTCCTGTGGGGGGCGACAAAGCTCTGCACACACTGCTGTGTGAGGGTGCGCTGGATTCACCAGAAACAACCTGAGGAAATTTTACAGTATTTTGCGTGCTCTCATTGCTGAACTATGTGTGAAGCTCCCTCAAATCTACAGAGCTGGTTGGAGATGAGATATGAAATATCCTGGTGGTACTTTTCCAGAGTCTCTTTTAGAGGAAGTGGTACTGCAGTCTGTTTCCCAGAAAGCCTGTTGGACTTTAGCTCTGATAAAATGGCAACAAAGGGGTCAGAACTTTCACATATTTGGTTTATATGAATAAAAATAATGTAAGATACATAGAAGGACATTAGATGCAGCTCATTTTACAGTTAACACAAGAAAGTACAAGAATCTGATACATGAGAGCAAGTTAAATATACTCAAAGGTTGCATTCAGGCTTATATGCACATGCAGGCAACAGCACATGAAGAGAAAATACAGTCAGGGTAAAGTTGTGCACAAGGTCATGCATTTCCTATATGCATGATACTTATGTTTCAGCATGGGCACATAATGAAAGTGATAATGATTTCGAGCATAAACCACAAAGCTCAGGAACTCACATTGCAGTTTTATGTTTGCATTATCACTCTGAAGGTCAGGTTGAAAAGAGACTCACAAACAAAAAAAATGTTGGCATCCTGCCTTCCCAGCCTCCTCCCAACTGAGGGTAAATTTCCAAACTTTGGTTCCTCCCTCACTCCGCCTCCTTTCACTTTCCCATGTGATGGAGGAGGGAATGTTTGTGTTTTGAAACCTCACATGCGGCATGTTATAAAGGCTGACAGCACTCATGCTTCATTAGAATTAAAGCAAGACACAGAAGTGAGCACATCATCTCTCAAGACATAAAGAAAACTACTGTCTGACTCTTCAAGATGGTGAAGGAGAGCGGCAACGGGAACTCTGGTGAGACATTTATTCTTGGTCTTCAGCCTGTACAGAGAACTTGATATGAAATTTATGATAATGCTTTAAATGTCAATAAGATCCTCTGTTAATCACAGTTTGTCAAGTTATATTTAGCTATCAATCCAAATTAACATATGAGTTTTGATGGGGTTTTTTTCAGCTAAACTTAAGACTAAAATTAAATGTTATTTTACAATTTTACATTTTAGTGAAAAAAAAGAGTAAAAATTACTTTTTAATTGTAGTGACAAACAAAAAAAACCCAGAAGCGAGCTGTTCATACCCAGGTCTTTTCTTATCAGTTACAAATGCTGTAAAACCGGTGATAAGCAAACAGAGAGGAAGCCTCTAAATAAATAGGAGCAGTTAGGGATTTATGACCTGTGCTGTAAAGTGTGAAATAAAGGAGGCAGCTAGAAACTATATGATTTACTGGAAATGTTCAGCTTGTCACTGATGGATAGTAAGTCCCTAATATATTGGGAAAAAAAAAAAAAAAAAAAGTTGTTGCTTAATGCTACATATGTGTGAGTCACACCTGCAGGATACATCTGTGGATTAATCACTCTTTGTAACTCGTCTATTGTCAAATAAACAAATCTCTTTATTGAAAACAGTGTCAACGTCAGTTATTTATCTTTGCAAGAACTTCCCAGCTTCTTCTTGTTGTGGATGTCTGTAACAATCATGAAATCTGGCAAAAAAATTCCCTATATGACAACATGGCTCACATGACAAGATTCTTAACTGTGTTTTTGTTCCTTTTACAGATGTTGGATCAGAGACGTCACACAGGTGCGGCCTGTCCTGCCTCGGTCCTCTGACCTTCCACCCCCGTGTTGTGGGGGACATGGTCCGCCTCAGCCAGGGGTGTCGCCTGGCAGAGAAGACGAAGAACACATTTAAGAATGGCCTGGTGTTCAGCAGCCGCCCGGTGAAGATCCAGGAGAGGATTCGTCTGAGGGTGGAGAAAGATTCATTCAACTGGCACGGAGCTCTGCGTGTGGGCTTCACCACTGTGCCGCCCTCAGCCAGATCTCTGCCTCTGCCCCTCATGGCCATCCCCAACCTCACTGACACCCAGGGGCACTGGGCCGCTCCTGTGCATGAATCCCTCTGCAAAGCAGGTTCAGAGCTGGAGTTCTGGGTCTCTGCTGGGGGCAATTTATACGTCACAGGCAACAACAGCGAGCACAAGCTACTAACAGGAGTGGATCTCAGCCAGCCACTGTGGGCCATGATAGACATCTACGGACAGACATGCTCTATTTTCCTTCTGGGTAAGTTTACTATGAATAGCAAATATGTTTCATTTGTAGTACAGCCTGTTTTTCTTGTGGTTATTTTTTTCACACGCACTGGCAATGGCAAGTAATTGTTTGATTGTCATATAAATATGATGTGATTAATGCTTCTACTCTTTGCGGCAGGTTCAGAGAAAAGAAATCTGTTTCACACCAGACGGTCCTGTCCTGCACCTGAACGCCTCACCTCACCTGATGTTGACAGTCACTACAGTTTGACATCTGATGTCTCGAGACTCTGTGGAAGCAGTGATGAATGCATGGACGAAGGTAAGAATGAGTTCCTTCAACCAAACAATTGCAATTGATTTCAGTGTTGTGCACATTTTTAACCAGAGAGAACTTTCCTTTAATGTCAGTGTTGTGATTCCTGTTTTGATCACAGGTGAAGGCAGCGGCTGTGTGGTGTGCATGGACAAACAGGCCAGAATGACTCTGCCTTGTGGCCACCAGTGTTTGTGTAACCAGTGCGCCTCCAGGGTCTTCCAGCAGTTTGGCACTTGCCCGCTGTGCAGACACAAGATCAGAGCTCCATCAGAGGAGGGGAGGTGTGTCTCAGGGCTGCCCTGAGCTCCCAGACACCAGGCGGGAATCACCACCAAATACAAGCTACTGATTGACTGTGACAAAAAGAAGAAAAACATTGAGTAGCACCTCCTGAACGTGTCCTGATTGAAGCCAGGAACTTTTGTCACGTGTCTCTCAACCCTCTCTTCCTTCTTATGTAAATGTTGTACAGCATGTGTAAGATAAGATGTATAGAGATGCTGACGTGAAGATACTATGCACTGGTGTATTTTCTCATGATGTGAAAGAAAGAATACTGTGAAACTTTGCTGCTTGAAAACTTTTATTGTGATTGTTAAATAAGGATAAAGACAAACATGAATCCTTTTTGATGAAGACTATCTATGATGCACTGAAAGCACATGAAAAGTAATGTACATTTACTGTACAGAATATTTTGCCTATTTGATGGAGTAAATCTTAAATTATTCTTGTAAAATTATATTTTTATATTATTTGTTTGTCTAAATATGGCTGTAAAAATAAAATGGATTATATCTTTCACAATATTGTCTTATCTTATTCTTATCTTCGCTGAATGTGTTGTTAGGATATCTATTTTAAAATGTGTGTGATACAAACTCCTAAAACGTATGTGTCTATTATCGTATACAGTTAATATATATTTCTAAACATTTATTCAGTGAGAATTATTTAATTTAATAAGTGAATTTGACAAAACAGGTTGACCATGAGGGAGATTGCTTTGTCAAGACTGAACTGTGGAGCTCAGAATAAGAGCGTATTTTTCATGTTGCAAAGAATTATTTCTTATTTTGAAAATAGATACAATACTAGCACAAACAGGAGCAAATACACATGTGCAGACCACTGATGAAACGAAATCTACAGTGACTAATCTTTAGTCAGGTTGCAACAGGAGCTAAATACTTTTCATACCATTTTTGCACGCAGCTTATCTCCAGAGGGTTCTTCAAATGTGAAAGTGCAGCAAGCAGCCAGTTTCGTTATTACTTGTTTACAGTTATAGCTGTCAGATCAAAATAAACAATATCACTGCAGCAAATGATTAACGAAGCTGGTTAGGATAAAACGAAATACAGACATACAAGTGTTTATAGTTTGACCTTGAGGATCAAAAGTGTCTGACGGTGCATGAAATGAGCGCCATCAGCAACAAATGTTTTAGGTCACTTATTCACATTTTAACTGATGAAGCTCAATCAGGACAGATTGTCTTCGTGCCCACTATGCTCACAGGAGAATTATGAGACAATTGGCACCTGGGCACAGACATGCAAAAGGCTCCACCACCTCCTGTACATAGGAGCAAGACACACAGAGTTGGTGGTGGTTTTATCTCTTTACCTTTATCTTTGTATTTTTGTTTTATTTTGTGTCTCTTTGTAGTGATTTTGTGTCTTTTTTGGTTGTTGTGTGTCTCTTTGTGTTTGTTTCCCCCCGTTTTATAGTTATCTTGTGAGTCTTTGCATTTCCTTTGCATCTCTTTGTGATCTTTTTGTGTTTCTTTGCGGTCATTTTTTAGTCTCCTCCTGGTTGGTACGTGTTAATTTAATTGACATTTTTCAGATGAAGCCCAGAGGGGCCCCTGGCACTTTGGGCCTGTGTCTGGTAGGCCCATTTAGTAATCCAGCGGTTCTCAAATGGTGTGCCAATCTAGGTGTGCTGTAGGATTTTGTGATAGCCACACATTATTACTGCAATATTCAACTGGGCCTGTACAAAAAGTTATGAATGATTTTTTAACTAACTGTATCAGTATGTTGTGCACCCATTTCCTAATAAAGAGGCAAACTCTAGCTTTAATTTGATTTAATATGATCACATGGAACCTATTTGTCATTGTCTGTGCGCTGGGATTATCAGTGTGTGACTCATTAGAAGCCCTGACTGGCAGCCAGTGTGAGGGATGATAACATTTAAAAGGAGAAAGCCTTGAGTGGGACCATAGATTGCTTTATTGCACAGAGCAAATTAGCAGTGAAGACGACCTACCACTGAAAGAAAAGAGAAAAATACCATGTCATGTCAGTAGATAGACATGCATGTTACCTGTCTTATCTTTTCTTATTTCTATTGTTTTATGGAATGATAAGAGTGATAACACACGTTATAGGCGCTATTGTGCACCAATAAAATACAGGTGTGCCTTGAGATTTTGGCTTGCCCTTTGGTGTTCCTTGGACATAAAAAGTTTGAAAACTACTAGTAATCCATCCATGGCTATTTTTATTTCTTCTTTCTGTCGTCTCCGAATTTTGACCCAGTCAGCTGACTGAAGCCACTCATTCTTTCACTTGCACCAATCAGATTTTGTCACAATCCTCCTCCCGAGGTGAATGAAAAAGGAATCTGAAATGCAAACACAGGCTGGCGTTGTCCTATATATCTTTTAAAGGTGACCCTCATGGTTTGTAGAATATACATTCCAGCAGCATATAAAGTCACAAACAACAGCAGATCAAACCAGTAACAGGTGTTGACATCAGCTGCCCTCTAAGGTTCATGATAGACATTTATGCATGTCCAAAATTCTGTCCTGTCAAAAGCTGGTCATTATTGTAACACAAATCTGATCAGCTGAGATACAAAACTGAAGCAGGTTGTTCAGTTAAGGATTTATGACCTGTGCTGTAAAGTGTGAAATAAAGGAGTCAACTAGAAACTATATGATTTACTGGAAATGTTCATCTTGTCACTGATGGATGAAAGGCTTTTCAAGTAATTCAAGTTGGGACATACTGTATGTGTGAGTCACACCTGCAAGATAAATCTTTGTGCTCTCCACTGGCCAGTGGAGGATCACTTATTGTAACTTGTTTATTGTTCAATGGACAAATCATTTTATTGAAAACAGTATTAAAGTAGGATTTAGTGGCATCTAACAGTGAGGCTGCAGAACTACAACTTTTCCTTTGTGCCAGGTGTGTAGTTGAACTACTGTGGCCGATGCAAAAACGCACATGGCCCTGTGTAGAGCCAGTGCTTGATTTGTCTGTTCTGGGCTACTGTAGACTGATGAAAACATGGTTATGAATATTATATTCCATTTCTGCCAGATGTTTCTAAAAAAATTGCACACTAAACCTTTAACATATGTAATTTATGTTTGCATGAATGGGGCACCCTCACCTGTTTCTCTAAAGTGAAAGCACATGTCTGCTACTTTCATTATTACGTTTTATTATTTGATCGTCTGTCATAGTTGTCATTTGTCAGTCAGAATCAGGTTTTATTGATGCAGTAAAGGACGGGATTAATGAGCATCCTGTGAAAATATAGAGAAAACATTGGCAATGTGACTATAATGTGACCTCGAGGATCAAGATATGGTGTTATGGTGTTATAAAATGATTCCTTATCATGAGGTGCATGCAAAAGGCCCCACCACCTCTCCTACATAGGAGCGAGACACACACAGTTGGTGGTGGTTTTACCTCTTTACCTTTATCTTTGTTTTGTCTTTGTAGTCGTGCATCATTTTGTGGTTTTGTGTCTCTTTGTGCTAATTTTGTGCCTGTTTTTTGGTTGTTATGTGTCTCTTTGTGGTTGTTTCCCCCTTTTTGTAGTTATCTTGTGAGTCTTTGCATCTCCTTTGCAGAAAACATTGGCAATGTGACAATAACGTGACCTCAGGGATCAACATACTTTGTTATGGTGTTAAGAGATGACTCTTTATTGTGAGGTTGTTGTGTCAAATGATGTGACTTATTCCCAACAGCAGCTTATTCACAGCTTCTGCACAATTCTGCAGCACAGCTTATTGTTACTACACTATATTCACATAGATGCAAAACTTCCCACCTTCTTGTTGTTGTCATTGTTTGTGACAGTTACGTAATCCATAGAAAGAATTCCCTGTATGACAACATGGCTCCCGCATCAAGATTCTTAACTGTGTTTTCAGTCCTCTGACCTTCTGCTTCAGCCAGGGGTGTCGACTCACAGAGAGGATGAGGAACACATTCAAGAATGGCCTAGTGTTCAGCAGCCGCCCGGTGATGATCCAGAGGTGGATTCGTCTGCGTGTGGGCTTCAGCACTGTGCCGCCCTCAGCCAGATATCTGCCTCATTATTACTGGTTTACAATTACAGCTGTAATATCAAAATAAACGTTATCATTGCAGCGAATGATTAACAGAGCTGGTTAGAATAAAACAAAATATAGGCATGCAAGTGTTTGTAGTTTGACCTTGAGGATCAAATGTGGCTGATGGTGCGAGACAAGAGCACCATCAGCACCAAATGTTTTACAGCACACTTATTCACATTTTTTACTTTTTTTTCATCAAGAACTGAAAGAGTTTCATGTGTTAATAGCTGTTGTCTGCTGACTTGCTTCATGGAGGTTAAAGGACACTGATGGTGGATCTCACCTTTAGTTTGACATATGCAGATTGTTTTGCAGATTTACATCAATCTTCCCGATAGGAATGAAAAAGGAATCTGAAATGCAGGCGTTGTCCTTTCTTTAAAAGGTGACCCTCATGGTTTGTAGAATATACATTCCAGCAGCATATAAAGTCACAAACAACAGCAGATCAAACCAGTAACAGGTGTTGACATCAGCTGCCCTCTAAGGTTCATGATAGACATTTATGCATGTCCAAAATTCTGTCCTGTCAAAAGCTGGTCATTATTGTAACACAAATCTGATCAGCTGAGATACAAAACTGAAGCAGGTTGTTCAGTTAAGGATTTATGACCTGTGCTGTAAAGTGTGAAATAAAGGAGTCAACTAGAAACTATATGATTTACTGGAAATGTTCATCTTGTCACTGATGGATGAAAGGCTTTTCAAGTAATTCAAGTTGGGACATACTGTATGTGTGAGTCACACCTGCAAGATAAATCTTTGTGCTCTCCACTGGCCAGTGGAGGATCACTTATTGTAACTTGTCTATTGTTCAATGGACAAATCATTTTATTGAAAACAGTATTAAAGTAGGATTTAGTGGCATCTAACAGTGAGGCTGCAGAACTACAACTTTTCCTTTGTGCCAGGTGTGTAGTCGAACTACTGTGGCCGATGCAAAAACGCACATGGCCCTGTGTAGAGCCAGTGCTTGATTTGTCTGTTCTGGGCTACTGTAGACTGATGAAAACATGGTTATGAATATTATATTCCATTTCTGCCAGATGTTTCTAAAAAAATTGCACACTAAACCTTTAACATATGTAATTTATGTTTGCATGAATGGGGCACCCTCACCTGTTTCTCTAAAGTGAAAGCACATGTCTGCTACTTTCATTATTACGTTTTATTATTTGATCGTCTGTCATAGTTGTCATTTGTCAGTCAGAATCAGGTTTTATTGATGCAGTAAAGGACGGGATTAATGAGCATCCTGTGAAAATATAGAGAAAACATTGGCAATGTGACTATAATGTGACCTCGAGGATCAAGATATGGTGTTATGGTGTTATAAAATGATTCCTTATCATGAGGTGCATGCAAAAGGCCCCACCACCTCTCCTACATAGGAGCGAGACACACACAGTTGGTGGTGGTTTTACCTCTT